TTTTTGGTATCCTCCACTAATTCCATTATTGATTGTATAATGTCTAAGAAATGACCACTCCAAAAAAGTGAATTCTTTTTACATCAACACAAATATCAGATGAAGCATTATTCTATTACAGCTAATAGTATCTCAGTATTTCTAGGTAGTACTGAAGTTACAAAATGGGAAATGCAGAAAATTGTTAAATTCTAGTTTGTGAATGTTTATAGTCCTTCTTACAGATAATTACTTACACTGTATCTTTTTTTTAGAGTTTTAGAGAAATCTTTCGTGTCAGATGCTGCAGAGAGCATGTAATTTTGTTTTAAATTAATCTGCAGGTAAACACACTAGAAAATTAAAACGTATGTTATAAGAATGTTTGTCTTGGCCACACTCCCACATGACTGTGCGCTGTCCACCGCTGTCTATGGTACTGAAGAGCACAAGTCTTGTCCATTTGAGTGTAAAGAATTGCTTACTCTGATTTGATTTGGGAGAAATCCATATGCTGCTGTTCAGCTGAATTAATTTATTTGAAGAATCGCAGTAAAAAGGGCTATTGTTTCCTTTCAGTCCTCAAGAGGTAATCTGAAAAGGCCTAGAGATGGGTGAGCAAAAATCTTGGAGCGTTAACAAAAAGGTAGAAACTAGACTGCCTGTAGACTAAGTCTTTTAACGTGCCACCATAGAAAGCGTAGAGCACAAACTTAACTCCTGAGGTGGAACATACGATTCCAGACAACTAATTTAAAATCATGTGCAGAACAAGCTGCTTCTTCTGAAAAAAGCAAATTTATGTTATTCCGATTTCTGCTTCAAATTCAAGTGCAATACAAATAATCCAGGATACCTCACTGATGCTCTGAAAAACTCTGGATACAGGTATTTTCATTCCAGCCTTTGCTTGCTTGCTGAGGATTATCACAGCAGAGAGCAGGCTCTCTGTGGCTCTTACAGATTATGACTTTGAGGCTGAACCATTTGAAGAGCGACATGACACTAAATTACATCAGCAGAGAAACAGGTCACAACTGCAACCATATGTAAAGACAGGCTCTTTGTGAGAGTGTTTGGCACTCAAATTTTTCTCAAAGAGAAACTTAAAAGGGTTTAGCCTCTCTAGCAGCACATTTACCTCCTAGAGACCAGTTTCCATAGGGTAATTAAAGGTCATTCTAATGTTATCTATCTAGGTAGTTATTACTTACTGAACTCAAATGAACTGCTCCCATGAATAAAAGTCTGCTTGTATGGCTAAGAGTTGTATCATTAGACCCTAACTTTTTAATCATGTTTTAAACAAAGCAGTTTTGATTTTTACACATTAGACCACCTATTTCAGTGGAGAAATATAGAATTTTCAGGCACATAACATAGAAAGAAACTATTTGCCTACCCATTTCTGCAGGGGAGAGACAGATGCAATGTTATCTTAAAGATAATTGCCCTTTCTAAAACTTAATTTTAATCTCTATTTTAAATATATATTTTTAAATGGAAGCTTGCACAAGCATTATCAATGTGTTTCTAGTACAATAATTTATCAGATGTTTAATGCTAGGTCCTATCCAAATAGTAAGAAAAAAATCAAATAGTACATTTACATATATAGCAAACGCAGTTCTTAATCAAAAGGTGAAACAGATTTATGAGAAAAAACCTTAGCAGAAAATCCCTTTCTCTTATTCCACTTCAATGTCCTTCCTTCAAGCCATGTCTCCAAGGCCCCACTTTTCACTGTAATCTGGATGCTTAACTCCCTTAGGATTCTTTAACAAACCCCATCCAGCGTATTATTTTAGCATTCAAATCAGTTATGAGCTCTTCTGTATCCTATTAAAGTTATTAATTGTATGGCTTTAATGAGTTTGCAGCTATAATTCCCAAATGTTACTTATTAATACAAACGTTAATGCTAAAAAAGATTGTAATTTATAATTATTGAATTCTTTGAAAGTGTCTGTAATCTCTTCTGCAAAACCTGTGTTTTCTTATTAAGAGGCTTAATTTCCAGCAAACACATCTTATTTAGATAATTAAGGTAAGGAGAATAAGAGGTCTTACTGCGTGAGGTCTCTCATGCTTTGTTCCACTGTTCTCTCTGGCCTTTCTGACCGGTTGTATGGACTGAATGTTGCTCTATGGAAATCAATGGGAGTTTTGTCACCAGACATCAGTCAGACCAGGATGAAATCATATGATTTGGTGAGGTGGGGCAAGGCATCTGAGGCAGGCATAGGAGAGTACTGGTGATACTCAGAGTTAGTTTGATCCCACTTTTTGAAGGAGATTTGACCCTCCCCAGACCACCACTCCAATGGATGACTAATTGAGTTTTTCAGATTCTTGACAAGATGATAGCAGCCACCTCCCAGAATAGGAAGGGTAGCAAAGCATTAAGGACATATATGTCACATAGCAACAGTGCTGTTAAACAAAGCTTACACAGGCAACCTGAAATCCTCCCACAAGGACTCTTGCTGAAATTTATAACAAATTCAAGGTAAGCCTGGGAGAAGGAGGTAGCTAAAAGACAGAAAGAATACATTACCTCAGGGTGGGCAAGAGAGCCTCCACGGGCCAGATCCAGCTCGCCAAGCGGGTTCATCTGGCTCATGGATGCCCTGCCACTGTCCTGCCCCCAGGTCAATCAGGGTCTGGGAACAAGGGAGCGTGCAAGGTCTCCTCCCTCAGGAGGGTGGTGCTTAGAGTGCACTTTAGACGTTGCACACCCCTTTCAGGGTGGGGAGCAGGGAGTGAGAAACTTCACACACTGCCCCACCCCCAGGCCCTGATTGACCTGGGGGAGGGGGAAGCACGTGAAGTCTCCTCCCACCACTGGATTACGGGTGCCTACAGGGAACCACCAGCTGTTCAGAACAGCTGGTGGATCTCTCTGGAGTGGAGGGGGCAAAGACTTCATGCACGCCCCCACCCCTAGGCCAATCAGGGTCTGTGGGCGGGGGAGCACAGAAGTGTTCTGGCCCTGCCCCTTCTGCTCGAGGTCCCGCCCTTCCCGGGTGGCCCAAGGACATTTCAAAAATTTGTGCATGGTCTCCCCTTCTAAAATTATTGGCCATCCCTGTTTTACATACAGAATGGTATCTTACTATCATGCCCAGGCACAAGATACCACTATTGGTAATTTCAAAGAATCACATTGGTATAAGAATAATGACAGAGTGATTGGTTAGGCAAAAGATGTTAAAAAGATTAAAATTAAATAAAGATTAACAAAAAAATTTGGGTCAAAATTGTCGAAAAAAATTCTAAGAAGTGACATCCTGGACTATGACACAGTTACAGCAGTACTACATTTATTGGGGAGCAACCCTGAAAAATTGTTTGAATTAAATTGGAATCTGTTTCTTTAAATGGCAAAAAAGGAAGATGCCTAATATACATTTGAAATCCATAATCAATACTTGCTGCCCAATTGCATGTATTCAGGTGTATAATTTCACTAGTTTTAAGATTTTTCTTTAAAAATGCAAATGAAGTGTAAAGTTAAAGCATGTATTCTCCTGTATGGAAGTTCAGCTATAAACAAGATTTAATGTTCTGTTAATGCAAAGGAGAGAAATCAGCAAAAAGTCCAGTGATTATATAACAATGGTCTTATTTGTATCCGTTACGAAACGGGTCTGATTTTTGAAGAATTCTGAAGCACATTCATATTCTGATCATAGCTAGAATCAGAAACATGGTCATCAACCAAAATTACTTGGGATGGTTCAACAACTATCAGTCTGGTCCTTAATACAGAAACTGTCCACTGGAGAGACCAACAAAGAGGCAATCTCAAATCAACAGAGTCTATTATAACAGTAAAGATGTGGGTTGGGGAGAGAATGCAGAGCTTCAATAAGACTGAAATTTCTGGACTGTCTCATGGAGGCCTTTGGTTTGCCCAGCTCCACCTGAGGGGTGCCCTGACAGACAGCCCTGGCTGAGCATATACGTGACACTTGAAGGTATCCCAATTAAGTAGAATTAGACTTCTATTTAAGCAGCAGTCATTACCATTTATCATCATTTGGTTTAAATCAGGCTTACAAGAAACTGTTGTTAGCCCTCAAAACAACCATAACATTCTCTCTTTTTTGGCTGACGAGACAGAGGTGTCTCAAAGAGTCTAAATTACAGAAATATTTTCATTTCATACACTTCTAATATTTTCCTTTTTGGGATGTAAGGTTTATAGACGATTGTTGCTTTCCACTCTGAAAAGTTTTAAATTCATGTTTTTTGTGAAATGTCTTGAAACCAATGGATGAATAGCAAGACTTGAAAACTAAACTTGTAGATTTGATGGTGGTTCCAATTAAACAGAATTTTTGATGTTGGGTAAAACCCTACCAAATTCATGGCTATGAAAAAAATGTCATTGACTGTGAAATCTGGTGTGCCCCATGAAATCTGGTGTTTTGTGTACTTTTATTTTATAGTATAAAGTGAAAGTATACAAAAGTACACAGTTTTTCTTAAAAGAGATTCACAACACTATTGTTGGGGGGGTCACTAGGCTATTGTTGGGGGTCACAGTATTGCCACCCTTACTTCTGTGCTGCTGCTGCTGCTGGCAGTTCTGCTTTCAGAGCTAGGTACTGGCAAACAGCTGCTGCTTTCCAACTACTCAGCTCTAAAGGCAATATATAAGTAAGGGTGGCAATACCCTCTTGCAATAGCCTTGTGACCCCTTTTTGGGTTAGGACCCCAAGTTGAGAAATGCTGAGTCTGTAGGGCTTTGCATGTTTTATATTTTGCCATTTTAAATATATATTCATGTCTGTTACCACTCTGTGAAATTTAAGATTTAAATATCTGAAACCATGAAATTCAAAATTTTTAAAATACAGTGACCATGAAATTTACAAAAACGGACCATGAATTTGGTAGTGCCCTAATGATGAGGGAGGGTATTGCACTACAAAGCATATTACATATAAAAATTCCAATACATAGCAAATTGTTCAACACATTTCTTTATCAAGATTCAAATTGTTCACATTTTAAGCTCTTGCATTGATCCTAGAACTAAAAGTTAGAAGATCTGTGATTTCACAATCATTGAATTCCAGAAAATGTTACCATATCTTCTCTTCATTATGCATGTGTCCCATTCATATATGTTTTGTATGAAGGAATAGATCATCTGAGAAGTTTGAAGTACTTGTACACACAATTTCATTAAGATGTGCAGTATTTAATAATGAAAAATTCAAGGAAGTTGGATTTCTGACCTTTTTACTGGAGTTACTTGTGACTAAAACTCTTACACTTTACAGGAAAGCCTTTACTTTCATGAATTGTCATTCTAACCAACTCTCCAACTCTGGTGCCAGAAGAAATGAGGACAAAGATGCTAGTGCACCAAAACCACAAATGGGGGCCTTTAGCACCATCTGCTTGTTGTAAGCTAGTCAAAAGAAGGACAGAGAACATCTTCTGCAATGCTATTGAAATACCATTGAGTCAAGCAACCCTGGGTCTAATGGCAAAAAGCCATATAAACAAAGCCTGCTGACTGCCTTAGTGAGAAGAGTATTATTTGTTTAACATCAGGACACAGTTTCCTCTGCATCTATAACTAGCTCATTGCCACTGTGAATACTACCTCAAGTAATGTAACTGAAGACAATATGTAATATATGAGGGCTGGAGGATGCAGTCCACACGTACACAGTTTTATATTGTTTTTCTTTAGTAGAGAAATAAACACATGTAGCTAGGAATAGCAGTGATAACATATTTTTCTAACTCTTTAAAGATTGTAAAAGACTTCTCCTCTAATAGCTGCTTTTCTATAGCATAAGTTTCACGTCAGTGCTTTGCTCTAAAAGCAAGAGCTTTCTTAAAATAAGTAGTGTATGAAGCTGGTCCAAATCAAGTGTCACTGCATAAAACTAAAGGCATTTTAATGAATGGTTTATCAAGTTGCTGAGATTCAAAGTGACACACATACATTTTGTCTCTGAAATGAAATATAGTTATCTGCTGCAAACTGGGCTAAGCCACAGCCTTCTAAAGCCCTAAACATAAGAAGAGTGAATGATCAGAAGCAGGCTAAGGAGGGTTCATATCACCATAGATCGAAAACTAGTGATCAAATAATTGATTACATGTCAGGCACATCCTACTAGCCTCAGGCAAATTCAATTTTACTAGATTTCCTCAGCTCATGAAAATCAAATAGCATTTTTAAAAACCCTTATAAAAATCCACCAGAAATGAATGTTCTGATATGACTGACTGGATACACCACTTTGCAATATGTACTGTGTATGTGGCCAATGCATGTGCAATCCAACTTAAATTGCACATTTTTGGTTCTGACCAGGGTATGTGTGTTTATCTTTTTTGTTTTGTGGGGAGTTGAACTTATGTGCCTTTTCATCAGACTGCTTCCTCCACATTTTTCAGTTATTTTTATATTTCCTTTCTGCTCTCTTTCATGTCTGGTTTAACCTGGGGATGAAAAATAGGAAATATGTAAGATGGTAAAGGAAGAGTCAAAATAAACTACCATGTTTTAAAACATAATGACTGCTTTCAGCTTGGATCTTCTTCTTTCCCTGATATTTTCTTTTACAACATTTTCTTATGTCATTGAAAACTATATTAAAAAATTGTGAAATGCTCTAATACTTGGTAATCGAGTCTATACTGTACCAAAAATAGACAGATACTCTTCCACCTTCAAAAACAGATTCTGTTTTTTAAAAGGAGACAACATAAGAGACTAAGCATCAAGGAAAATGACTCTCTCTTTCTTTTAATGTAACTTTGATAAAATTATTCAGTACTGGC